CACTATACCTAGACAAGACATTCATCTAGACAAGACATTCATCTAGACCATTATACCTAGACAAGGAATTCATGTAAGCCAAACATTACACCAGACAAGGAACCAAAAAACAAACATCCTCAATGAACACAACCACAAACTTTCCAAAAACCAATCCAAGAAATTCATACTCAAACGCCAATATCATCGATCATACCTTATTCTAAGGCCAGCATTTTTTTATTTTTAGGTTTACGAACATCAGAATTGTGGCCCCATCTTCCCTTGGTGGTTAGGAAATAAAAAAAAAATAAAATTATATTTTGGATACATTATCGACTTTTCTACATTAATTTTTGCTTCTTTTTTTATGCTCTCCTAACAGGCTTCTTACCACTGGACACATAAAGGTTACAAAGGGGAAAATACAACCTTTAATTGTTTATTTCATCATCTACCAGTTGGGGGCAGTGATATAAATCTTTTGATGTTGGACAAAATACAGATTTTTTTTTTTTAAAAATCAATTTTTTAAATCTCTTTTAATATATTTTCATTTTTGTTTTTAATGTGTGTTAGGTAGAAAATATTCTAAAATATTAATATACTCGAGGCCTATAAAAGTAATAATTCCTTTCATAAAACAGACAGGGAGTATTCCAAAGGAGTATTGAGGAGTAGGGTGGAATTTTTTTCAATTAAGTGTAAAATAATTTTTCTGGCCGCCATAAACGATACTATATGCCTGTATATATTTGTATATTCTTGTTTTTAAATAGTTGAAATATTTTATTTCTTTAGGATATTGTTTATTTCTTCCTCAAATGGACTTAACTTCTCCCATAGTTTTATTCATTACATCTGATGATGATTTCACATGAGTTTCATCTTTCCTTTTCTTGAAGAAAAAGATTTTTAAAGATTTTTCTATATAGCTATGACAAAACCTAAACAATCTCTCTGACAATAGCTACCATGGGCAGTTTTAAACCAACTGGGATGAAAATAATTTAGGATGATTACATGAGTTACTTTTGAACAGTGGTTCTTGATACAAGATTATTGAAAAATGTCACTTTTTTCAACAAAGTCGTCAGCATTTTATTGTTCTCTTTGAAAAGGGCTTGGCCCTTTTGAATGGCACCCCTTCACCTAATATTTACTTTGTGGCAAGTTTGGTGCTGCTATGGATTGACACCATTTAAAACCGAGAAGAAGATGAAAATGTGAAATCAGTTTACGCCGACGACAAATTTGACATCGACGACGAAAAAATTCTGGACAAATTTTTTTCCTGAAAATTCAAAATCTTGAGCGGCGGGTTTGTAAACCTAAAAATAAAAAAATGCAGGCCTAATGAATGAAATGTTTTACAAAAAGGGTAAAAATGAAATAAAAGTTAATGGCATCTTTGATTTACAAACTATGTAGAACAAATAGTTGGTAGGTAAAAAAACGATGCATCATGGCCTATTAATTTTGTCTATCAATAACAAGACAATATGATACATCAAATTGTTATGAGCAGCATGATGGGCAAGCATCTGATATCTAATAAAAACCAAGGAAGTATTTACTAAGTACAAAGAAAAATTGACTGGGAACTAAAGGTTTTCATAATGGATTGAACTCATGACAGTGGACTTTTCCATCCTTTGCCATTTGTTTAACCATAAGAACTACATGTGTGAGTGCTAGGTCTGATGACAAAGCTTGTGTATATAATACAATAAATACAGTCATGTATTATCAGGAGGTCCAGCAGGATGTCAACTTCCTGCTAACCCTCTCACTTCCTGTTGCCAATCTGCAGCATAAGGAGTAACTTTTTTCTTCTATGTCTGATTCATATACTTCTTAACTGCGTAATAATTCCTCGTAAACAAAAGCCCCAATTATTTATACACATAGGGTGAATGACTTTGACTATAAAAGGTGCACTGCATATGGTAATCTTAAGATTAAATGGCCATTTACAAAATGTATAGAATTGACCGAAGCAGTAGATTTGATATGGCTTATCATTTGTATGCATTAACATACAGCCCGTGTTTCCCTATTGACATACTGCATTTACTTTCAATTCAATGGCTCCCACAATAAAGTTTTAAACATGGAAATGAGCTCATTGACATTTGCATTATTTTCACTGTTTCTAGATTGCATATCATGTATTTGGATAATTGAATCCTGTCAAGATGCAAAATGATATTTTCAAGATCAAATTATTTAGAGGTAAAAATGTTTTACAGACAACTTAAAAAAGTCAAGATAACTAATTTTTTGTCTTCTTTTTACAATCCTTGTTCAGTTAGATGAGTTTATCCATATATAATCATGTCAATATTTGGGCATTAAAATCACCTTATAACGAATTCCCTCATTGATAGTCTAAAGAAATAGCCTTAGGAGCTGTTACCTGTATATGTATGTGAATGCTTCGTTGACTTCGGACGTCTCAATAAATGTTATGTGAAGCTTTTAAACTCTTTTTAAAAAATGTTGTGATCCAATAATAAAACCACAGAGCTTACATGTATAGTATCCCCTTCCTAAATTAGACTTCAAAATATTAGTTTACTTTGAATCTTGTCTGAATCATTTATTGTTGTTTTCTAGTGGACTGGGTTACCTTTGTAAGAGATGTGAGAGATGTGAGATGGCAAAACAGGAAAACATATCCTATTACTAGCCCCTCTAACCTATGTATCTCCAATACCTTTATAAATCATATGTGTGTGTATCCTGTCTTCACATTATAATTTACTAATAGAAGATATATTGTTTCTGGTCAGACAACACAGAGTAGACAACAAGTCCTCCATCACACCCAGAGGTGGGGCCACATTAAAAATATTGTTTGATGTACTCCGACCCAAATTTTTCAAGGTGGGTATTTTTTTTTATATTCTCCATCTCTAATTATAACCATAGGTTCCTCCACTAGACTGAAAATAGGAATAAAGGTGTACATTGTCAACTAAATGGGGAGACAAACTAAAAGTGAACAACTAAATGGAGGGGGGCAAACTAGACATGTATGACTAAATGGAGGGACTGTGAATCTAGAACAGCACAAGATCAGTTTATCTGATAATTCCAACTACTCTCTTTTTAAAGGTTATGCTTAAGGCATATTCTATCTATCAAATACAAAAAAGCTTTCAATTTTTTTTATAGCCCTTGATTGATATAAAACACAAACCACCAAGGAAAAGGCCTGCTTAAGAAACAAATTTCTGAAAGTTAATTTTGGGAACCTTGTTATTTTGTGATGTCAGAAGTGTAGAGGCTACAGGTGACCTATTAGTAAATACACAGAACTTGTTAATTATTAATCATGCCAATCTAGCGGATTAACACAGTATTACTCGGAACCACAATGTAAGCCCTCAGGGAAATATTGGTTTCACCAAAAATATCTCATTCTAAATATGGACGACCCTGCCAATAAGTTTCATCTCTCTTCACTTTTATATATCTTCACATTGTACAAGAATGACAGATATTATGCAGTCTATTCATTTTGCGACCTAGGTTGTAAGGAAAAAAATAAACCTTTTCACCTAAATGCTACAACATAAAAACCTGTTATCACATGTAATTTACAATAAATATAAGCGATACACACAACATTCAATTTAGATTCAACATTCTTTTAAATTAAAATATTTTTTTGTTTTTCTTTTTTCTTTTAAACACAGAAAATTTGGAAACTTCATTCATCAAAATATTTGTCAAAATGGATGTTTGATAAATGGCTAGTGATTGAGTAGAATGAGTTATCCACTCAAAAACTGATTAAATGGCCTCCAGGAAAACTTAACCATCAACCTTCATTGCACAGTTGGTATGGGCTAGTTCACTTGCAGTAGTCTGAAAGAAAAACTGCACATTCTTTTTTGATTTTTATATTCAATACAGAAAACACTAACTTGCATATATAAATTTTATGTACAGTGTAGTTGCAGTTTTACTTACTAAAAATTATGTCATTACATAATGTATTTGACAGTGATTTTGTTTCATTAAAATTAAAACAAAACTGCAGCAGCAGAATTTTTTCTTTAAATTCAAGTTCATCTAAAAATCACATGATATGCCTGTCAGAAATATAATTCATAGTAAATAACTTCAGAGTCATGATGCATCATGTTAGAAGATACATCAACTGACACGGTTTGATGATTCTAACATCTAACACTGTGTAAGATTAAAACAGGACATGATTTGACTATGTGAAACTACAGTAGTTCAAAATGAGGTCACATTGACCTACTTTTGTGTTGTGCCATAGTACCCTGGACACACTGTGCAAGAAATGTTATAGAAATGATTTGACTATGCTAGCAATAAAATTCCAAAAGTATGTCACTGTGGCTTGGGCTTATACTAGTATAATTGGTATCTTCCACCAAGATGCATTACTTCATGAACAAGGTCTAATGAATCTTGACCAAACAGATTGAAATAAGAAAGAGTAACCAGAATGGACAGAAAGAAAAGTCTATCAGAATAAAAATAAAAATTTACCCACAGATAGACAGACAGGTGACTCATAACACTCTACCACTGCATATTGTGTTATGCACATTGACTGACAAATAAAAACCTTGTAAATAACTAAATTTGACAGAAACTTCATCAAAACCCATTGAGATGCCTTAAATGTTTCAATGAAGTTGGATAGGTCAGAAATGAAATAAATACACCCAAATAAATACAGAATAGACTTCCTTGATGCCCTTGTGATATAAACCCACATCATATCAATGTTTATATTTCATGAGAAATTTGAATCACAATTGTATATGATTATATGTCAACTTTACCTTGCCTACATGCAAAGGTAGTGTGAATTAAAAATTTTTTAATCTTTTCTAAATGAAGAAATTGAATCAGTTTTTAGGATAATCTTTTTAAAACTTGTAGGAACATTGTAGTTTAGTTCCTTTTTGATATATTTAATATTTTAGCTCCAATACATGAAATAATGTATATAATGTCTCTATGATACATACACTTTGGCCTCTTCCAAGTGACACAGGTATTCATACGCCACATTCTGCTTCCTCTGCTCGTCCATTTCATCAGCAGTCATGTGGGACCTCCCATCAGCTGTAAAGGTCAAGGTTACGATTAGGAGGTCAGGGTCACATCACAATCAACATTACATTCCCATCTTTACAGAATGGAATTTAAAACTGGAGTTTGATATTTGAAAAAAGTATCGTAAAAGAAAGATTAAGATATGGATACAGAGTAGAACACATTTGTACAAAACAATACTTATCAATTTAATAAACATTAAATATTAATTTATGTAGAATTCTGAACCCAATCACTGAATTATTAGAAATGATTTTAAAAATTCTTATACTATAGGCATTATACTATGGGATGTTTTGTGAATAGGTACACACAAAGCTTAATACAGAAAGTCAGAAATCTGGAATGACCTGACCTTCTTTATTTAAGGAATCACTGTCTAGTTAGGAGGGTATGTCAGGGCATCAACAATAGTGGGAAACATGGGATAATTTGCATAACGGGCGAAGCCCGTTATGCTTAAATTATCCCATGTTTCCCACTATTGTTGATGTCCCTGACATACCCTCCTAACTAGACAGTGATTCCTTATATTTCCATTTCATTGTGAAATAAAATTGTAGATTTAGACTTTAAAAATGTAGATAAATAGATTTAAATCACATGATGACTTCCATGCCAATTTCAATAGTCCTCGCTAACCGACGTCAAACACAAAGGCAGCCGCACGAGATTTACATGCATATTTGGCCTCCTTAGCGTCAGACACAGAGACAGATGCGCACGAGAATTGCATGCGTATTAGGCCTCCTTAGCTCCCGACCTATCGACCTGCCTAATTTACATTCCGGCAGAATTATCAAGAAATAAGCTACCCCTAACTTTCAAAGAGTTATCACAGAGAAAAAAATTAGAAATGGAAATATTAATAAATAAACAAAATTTTAAAAGCTTAAAAAGGAAGTGATTGAACCTTTTTTTTCTATATTAAAATAAAACCTATATATAGATGTATGTTTGAGTGTGTGTGTATTTTTCAAAGACCAAGATAGTTTTCTCAAGATACTGCTAAATCATACGCGAGATTTCCTGTCACAATCCTCCGACAAATCAGAGTCTCATCATCACTTCCTGATTTTTATATCCATTCTCACTTAACAAGATCTGAGAGCTTAAATTTAGATGAATAATGTATGTACTGTAGACAAACTGTCCCTTGTGCATGTTGTGTATGACCATCCTTGATGAATACATGAATATAGAGAAATCAAAGATTATCTCCATTAATCTACATCTTGAAAGGAAATAATAACTTTTGAAAAATATTGCATTAGATAACGAAGCACACAAGTTGAGCAACAACATGGTGCAAACAAAATTTTGTTTTTTAGTACTTCAAACTTAAAAATAGCAAAGTCAATCAGAGAGGGAAGATTTCAACAGTCAAGGTCAGGGGAAAAGAAGACATAAAATTAAAATAAATATTAACATTTAATTTATTCTCAAATCCAGAATAGTTGCCCACAGTGGCACAGTGGTTAGAGCCTCAGCAAGTCGCAGAGTAAGAAGTTGATCCTTACGTCACAGATTTGAATCCTATTGTGGGACGTGGAGAGGGGTCCTTCGGATGAGACCATATAAACTGATGTCCCGTGTCGCAGTAGGTGCTGTCACAAAAAAAATCGATCCTCCCTGCTCAATGGCAGTAAGTACTGAGTTCAAGACAAAATTTGCACCTCTCCACTGTCAATTGGTGGCATCTCCATTATGAATGACAAATTCTCAAGAGGAACGTTAAACAACATACAAACATATCCAGAATAAAAGATTTTGCACATCTTTTATGATACAATCAGTCAACCTAAGTGATTTCATTAGTATTTTTGAGGTACCAACCCTGTTCTAAAGATAGGTCACCTTCTTGGAACATGTCATATTAACAGACAAAACGAATGCCAATCTGAACCTTTTCAGCTAGCAAAGTTGTTCTTAAGACCCGGGGAATTTCTAAGCAGCCTATCAAGACATAATCCATGGGTTTTTCTAGTATTGCTCACTCAAACACATTTTGGGAAAGGAACCTTAGACACCCTTCTTACTTTCTTAATGTCCCATTTGCTTCATGGTTAATATTGACAACCCTGTGCTAGTACTAGACCTGTAAAAAGTCATTTATTGAGTTGGAATTTCCAGAAATTGAAAATCGAGATCTTACAGAAGACAACCTTTTTAGTACTTACTTTATCCAAACCAGCAGCACTGTACCACAGATTTACCATCTATCAGAGGTCCAAAGGATAGGCTTCTTATCTACTTTATCTACCCCATAGATTTACCACCCATTGGAGGTCTAGACATTTCTTACTATAGCCACTGTCTACCAACCCCCGTGTACATGATGTCTACTCACCCAACGTCAGTGTACATGATGTCTACTCACCCAACGTCAGTGTACATGATGTCTACTCACCCAACGTCAGTGTACATGATGTCTACTCACCCAACGTCAGTGTACATGATGTCTACTCACCCAACGTCAGTGTACATGATGTCTACTCACCCAACCCCAGTGTACATGATGTATTTAGGCAGTGTTTACCCACCCAATCCCAGTGGACATGATGTCTACCCACCCAACCCCAGTGTACATGATGTATTTATAGGCATCAACTACCCACCCCACCCCAGAGTACATGATGTCTACCCATCCCACCCCAGTGTACATGATATCTACCCATCCCACCCCAGTGTACATGATGTCTACCCACCCCACCCCAGTGTACATGATGTCTACCCACCTCACCCCAGTGTACATGATGTATTTATAGGCACTGTCTACTCTGAATACGGACAAAACATCATGCTGATTGATACATTTATAGGAGTAATGTAACTGATGCAGACTGGAATACTAACAGGGGACGGGTTTAGATTGGTTTGTAGTAAGGCGTACTACGGATGTGACCACTTCAGCTATGAGACTGATATTTTGTACTTTGGTCATGTATTGAGCTTAGTCACCGACATTATAGGAACATGTTTAACAGTTTTCACAGTATAATTTTTTGCTTTGTAACTGTTCAGTATACAGCTTGTCTGGACGTATTGTAACACTGCATATTAATGAACTAGACTGTACTCAGTGACAAGTACATTAATCCATTGTTATGTGTTCTATTCTAATGAAACCTGAACTCATGAATACTGTGAACAATTTATATTTTACACATCATTTAAATGCTACAGATTGCTATCTGGTGGTCAGTCAGAATTTATAATTAGGTCAAAGTCTTTAGCATGTTTAGATGATAGACATAAGCTCTTCTGAACGCTGAGCAGAAGACATGGTCGAGCTGAAAACTTTAAAACAGTAATACAGAACCTAGCCTCATCAGGATCAAGGGGTGCATGGACATACTTACCATGCTTACTTTGATCAATCCATATTTTTCAAGACAATATAAAATTTTACTTTAAGGAAAATGAGCTTTCAAATTGGATTGATTCTTCTCTCAGAAGAAAATATTACCAAAAAAAGAATTGAATGCAATTTAATTGTTTAAGTGACCCTCTCAGATATGTTGCTCACAAAAATGGTTCCAAAGCTGGCAATATTTGTAAGGGATGGTCTACAGATTTTTTTGTTTATTCTATTTTAAATATTCAGTTTACAAGTAAGTATAGAAATGCACAATCGCAATAATGCAAGCACTGTTAGGACTATAAAATTTCCTAGTTTTCAAATTGAAAGGGGGGGGGACTTAGGAGGACTGAGTTGGTATAGACCATTGCAAATTTATATGCACCTTTCCCTTTGCCCCTTCACATCTCTCTAATAATGATGTTTAGTTTATAGAAAAGGGATTATTTCACAACATATTTAATATTCCACACCAAATGCATACAACCATAGCTAAATCAAACAATATTTACATATTAATTATCTATCGCATTACCAGGATGTTAATTAGGTAAAGGATATGTCATCAAACTACTGCGGTGTGTATCGAAACTAACAGGATGGTCAATAACACCATAGATTGTCCAAATATTGTATACTGATCAAATGACAACTTGTAACTCATACATACAGATTGAGAAATTAATAAATAAAAATAAAAATTACCACGGGAAGAGCGCTTTGATGACGTGCCGTTGTTTGAATCCATTTTCAAATTGGTACTAAAACGATCCAATGACGTTATATTCCTAAAAATCACAAAATCATTTTTCTTGTGACATTTACACTTTCATCATAACACACATGTCAACATAAACTGCTAAAACACTTCCTCAAAATTTCCTGTGCCTCTCTTGAAGTGCGTAAACTTTAAAAAGATTTAACTCAGTCGGTAACAATAATTCCATTGCCACACATTAATAAGATTTTTAATTTTTCTTCCTTTAAAATCCCTACGACTTTTTAGGGCACCTGTTTGCAAGTTGAACGAGGCGCGATCGACTGCTTGCGCGGCAATGTTGGTTTAATTTGACCCCGGTTGACCTCAATATTCCCTCTTACCGCTAGGGGGCACTTCGGGCACATTGTTTACAAATGGCGACGACGTAGAGAATATTCAACAAGTGGAAAAAATTGATTATCAATATTTTGCAGGTAAAAGTTAATTTGGTGTCATAATTTAAATAGTGTTATTTAGATGTATGTGTGTTTATCAAAGTTTGTAAAAAATTTCAAATTAATGACAACTTTCTAAGAATTGAAATATCATGTTGGTGCGTTGCCAGGAGAAATGACCACAAAAAACTGTAGAACTTCATCAATATTTTCTATATTTCTTTTCAAACATTCTGATAACTGTGTGATTAGACATCATTTCGACATATTCATTACATTGATATGAATTTTATATTTATTTTAATTTAAATTAATTTTCATATTTTAACTGTAAGAATAAAAATAAAATTGATGCATTTAACTGAATATTAAAGGAATAAAAGTTAAAAGTATTGGAAGTGTACATTATCAGGGACCTACATACTAAGTATATAGGTCCCTGACTTTATTAAAGATTTAGTAAATGAAATTAAACAAAATTTATATTTTTTATCATCTATAATAGATCCTTCCTGTACTTGCAATGTACTACATGTAGTCACAGGCACTTGTCTTGTATACGGGATAACCCCTACTTATATTTACCACAAGGTACCTAACTCAATTTCAGACATCCCCACTTCCAGTTTGTATTTTGTTAATATATTACTTATTAACCTACTTTAAATGACATCATTCACTTCAAAAGACTCTATTCTTGTCAATTAAATCATTTCAGAAGTCTCTGGTTGAACCTCTTTATCGAAAACCACTCAGTCATTTATTCCTCAAAAATTACATAGATACATAGTAAGACATCTTCTAAGATACATTTACTTCCAGTTGGGGTTATAGATGCAGGATAAAACCAGAGGCTTCCGAGTATTCCATTCCGAGGTTTCTGGTTTTGTCCTTAATCTGTAACCCCAACCGGAACAACTTGTATCTCAAGGAAAGTCTTAAAATGTATTCAAGGAATAAATGCATAGTTTATGATAAAGAAGCTCGACCAGAGACATCTAAAACATTGTTATTGACAATTAAAAAGTCCCTTGAACCGTACGATGTCATTTTAAAGTAGGTTAATGATTGATTCATTATCAAAATATGAGTTTGAAGTGGGGGTGCCTGAAAATGAGTTAGGTATCTTGTGGTAAATATAAGTAGGGGGCATCCCGTATACGAAACAAGTGCCTGTGCATGTAGTGCATGTTTTCCTTTGAGTATGAAAAACGAATGTGTTTCAGGAAGTATAAATACAAAATGTTTTCGGATAAATTGAATTTCATATATACCAGTATTATATAAATACTTAAGAAATTTACCATTGGTTTGATATTTTAATTTTTTCAATCTTAAAATTACAATATAAAAGATGTAAATAGTGTTATTTTAACTCCTGTGGTACACAAAATCAGTTTGCAATATCTGTAAATTTGCTACAGCAGAGCTCATTATAACTGGAAAATATGGAATAAGTAAACATTTATATACAAATGTATCCCTAAATTCACATATGTTTTTGTACTAGAGAAGTTTCATTGTATGAAAAATAATTTAATATATAATAGGTATAATAAATACAAAGTATTGTATGAAATAATGACATTCGAATCTCAGAAAATGTATAGGCAAGTAGTTATACAGGTACATTTGTCAATGTGGGAGAACAGAATATCAAGCGAGCACCACCAGTTTTCGTACTTGGCCAATATTTTTTTTTAGCTTATCCTCCTGTAATTTCAGTTTGCCCTCTAACACTCTCTTTGCATTTGATATACTGTCATGTACGGAGGTGAACCCCTCCCTGAACTCTCTCTTGGCTTTGGCCAGCTCTTCCTGATGATGTCGAGTATGCGTCTCAAGTCTGTTCACTATTCGTGTCTCTACTTTCTGAAATTGAAATTATTATTAATAAATTTTAGTTAGTATGATGAGAAAACTGGTGATTAAAATTCAACATAAATATAAAGCTTTTGATTCAAATAATAATTTGCTCTTGTTTAAATTTATTTATTTTTGTTTGTTATATTATTTATTTTTTGGAAGGATGGGGGTATTAAATTCTTAAACATTGTTATTGTTAATAGTGAGAAAATTGTTAAATGCATGATTTTTTTCTTTTTTGTTCTTTGATACTCTAAAAACTACTTTCCTTATGCCAAAATATTTAGATAGCTTACTGACATTAACAAATGAGGTACCAGAGTACTCATGTATTTTAAATTAAGCTAAATAATTTCAAATACGTATGATATTTGATGTTCATACATCTATAATTAATAAGAAAATTTACACTGTGCTGTGAAAAGGGGCTTAACTCATACTTACCTTATTTATTTATAATATAAAGAGTGAGGTTTTAAAAATAAAAATAACACCCCACCCCCAAAAAAGAAAAGAAATAAATTAATTAAATAAAATAATTACTTAAATAAATAAATTGAAAAGAAAGGAAACACAAACAAATTATAAAATAAAGAAGAAAAAAAGAAATATTCCCAAAGAATGACTATTTTGAAAATAAAAAAATATCTTAAACTTAAAAAAGACATTTAAATCCATAAATGGCATTAAAAAAAAGAAATGGAAATGCAAGTTTAAAAATGATTTTTAAAAAATTCCTAATAAATTAATTAATTTTACTTATTATATGTTAATTTTTGTATTGAACTGAAATTTCCTTTAACCCCCTTTCAACAATTAGTAAAATCCTGGTCGTTAATTATCATATAAATACTGACCGCCTGGAGATCGGATATGACATGTCTGTCATACGCTAGTGCCTCCTCCAGTTTCTGAAAGCGAACATCAAAACCATACACACTTTCTTCTATCCGTAAATCAACCTTCTCCTGTAAAACACATTATTACTTGTATTTTATATTATATACATATAGTAACACCAGGTTGGAGCAGAATAAGATTCTGAGGCTGAAAATGATGACACAGGTTGTCAAAAATTCAATAGATAAGCAGTTGTAAGTATTATGTCCAAATCTTTCAAAACTTATTACTCAGTGGTGAAACTGTGTGAGAGTGAAAAAATGCCTCAGCATTTGAATGTGCAAATTTGTATGGAATGATACGTTATTTTATGCTTAAATTTTTTTCACGAATGTTGATACTGAAAATTGTACTAAGTGTAAACTGTAGAATATTACCGGTATAATCATTCAGCAAGTCCAAACAAATCCTACAGTAATCTTACCAAAGGAGATATTCAGTTGCCTGTAACCTTTAAATGCCATTGATTACTTTCCATGAGAGATTTCCAATTGCCCATCACCTTGTCTAACCATGACTTACCAAGAGAGATTTCCAATCGCCAGTAGCCTTTTAGAACAGTACATCACCTGTGGTCTTGTCTAATTTAGACTTTCCAAGAGAGATTTCCAGTTGCCCATCACCTTATTATGTTCCCCAAACGAAGTTGGGGAACATATTGTTATTACTCTGTTTCTTATTATTATTTTTCTTCTTCCTGGGTACTTATTTGTCCGCGAATGATCTTGTAAACTGTTCATCTGGTGTAGGTAAAATCTTTTCAGGGTAAGTAGACATGTTATGTAGATTTGCGGAATCAAGGTCATTTTGCGCGCACATGCGTGCAAGAGCGCGCACGTGCAACATGTCAAATGACCAATATAATTAATATAGCCGTAACTTTTCTATTTTTTGATGAAATGTGTTGAAACTCAGAATATAAGAATATATTAGTATTATAGACAAGAGGACATGGTCAAATTATCATGAACGCACGCGCATGCACGTTCGCTTTGCTCTGATTGGCTGAAACAAAAATCTCAATATCTTATTCGTTTTTTGACGAAATACTTTGAAACTTAAAACATAGTCATGCATTAAGATATCCTACGATATGATATAAAATAATTTTCATGAAATCACGCGCATGCACGTGCGCTGCAATCTGATTGGCTAAAACTTTAAATGGCTATAACTCCCTTGATTTCAGCCAAACAGGATGGGATTTAAAACATAGATAGTCTTAATGGACCCCTACAAGAAGGCATGGCCATCATGCACATGCATGCACATGCGTGCATGTTCAATATGTATAATTACAAATGCACTTGATTTAGCGTATTTTCGAATATTTTTTGATTAAATGCCTTGATATTAAGTACATTAAAATAAATTAATAGTGTAGATACAATGATATGGTCATTCCGCATATGCATGCAAGTGTGCGCACGTGCAATGCTAAAATTTGCTATATATTTGGTATACCTTAAGAAAAACGTTGTTTAAGTTTAAGATGCATAGAGTTTAGTTTATTTGATGAAGCTTAGAGGGAATGAGACACCAAAATGAAGTTGGGGGAGCGTTTGGGGAACATCTGTAACGGTTCCCGTTACAATTAGCACTAGTCTAACTGTGACTTACCAAGAGAAATCTCCAATTGCCTGTGCCTTGTCTTACATAACTTATCAAGAAAGATTTTAAGTTGCCTGTGGCCTTGTCTAATCAAGACTTAAAAAGAGATCCAATTGCCTGTGCCTTGTCTTACATTAACTTATCAAGAGAGATTTCAAGTTGCCTATGGCCTTGTCGAACCAAGACTTAGCAAGAGATCCAATGACCTGTGCCTTGTCTACAGTGACTTACCAAGAGAGATTTCCAGTGGCCTCACGGTGGCCTTGTCTACTTTGACTTACCAAGAGAGATTTCAAGTTCCCTATGGCCTTGTCTACTGTGACTTACCAAGAGATTTCAAGTTGCCTGTGGCCTTGTCTACTGTGATTTACCAAGAGAGATTTCTAGTTGCCTGTGGCCTTGTCTACTACTTACCAAGAGAGATTCCAAGTTCCCTATGGCTTTGTCTACTGTGACTAACCAAGAGAGATTTCTAGTTGCCTATGGCCATGTCTACTATGACTTACCAAGAGAGATTTCTAGCTGCCTATGGCCTTGTCTACTATGACTTACCAAGAGAGATTTCTAGCTGCCTATGGCCTTGTCTACTATGACTTACCAAGAGAGATTTCCAGTTGCCTATGGCCTTGTCTACTGCTTGCTAAGAGAGATTTCCAGTTGCCTTGTCTACTGTGACTTACCAACAGAGATTTCCAGTTGCCTGTGGCCTTGTCTAACAATGACATCATCCTCTCCTCGAATCTATCCCGATCGTTCTCTATGGACAGTTTGAAGGCTGACAATGTAGCTTTGACGTCATTCAATATAACACTGTTCCTCTCCCCTACCAGGGCTAGTTCTCGGTTTGTGTCTTTTTTCATGTGATTTAGTTCTGTGTTTTGTTCACCATGAATTCTCTCCAGCTCCCCCATCATGGTCAGCATCTGAAATGACAGAGATCTTAGTAGCAGCATGGTGAAGGAACCCTCACATTAGCAGTGGTATAGGGTTTGGTTTAGATCATCAGATTTCATGTTCAGCAGAACTTTTTAAGCCGATTTTCAGGTGTGGAGACCCTATGTAATACTTGCTTTTCTTCAAACAGCCACTATGTCCTAATAAGTGAATATCATGCTGCAGAAATAAACTTTACAGGATACATACTGTATTCAATCTTTTTCTATGTTTTAATGTTTACAAAAGTTTTTTTATTTTTTTTTTGGAAACAGTTGTATCCAGTTGACAAAGATTTTTAGCAAACTATAATATCCCCCCTTTCTCCCTGAGGAAGATGGAGTTATATTGTGATTGGGGGTCAGTCCTTCCATATGACTGAACACTTAGGGGTACCCATCTCTCATTCACCATATCTCCTGTACCAACCTAACAATACAGAGATTCTCTAGTATCTTTATCATAGTGCCATTGATTATGACCTCCTTTTTAAAATGTTGGTTGGACAGATACTTAGGGCTCCCATAAAAAAACATGGACATTTGTTCTAGAATATTGAGAGTACCCATCTTTAATGTGCATCTCCTCAAACACTACTGAATACTGCAAAATCACATATTTTCATGGGGCTAAGAATGAAGAATTATTTAGAAATTATGTATGTAACATTTTACATTTCATGGTGGACATGAATTGAGGGTCTCTTCATACCTCTAAGATAGCAAAAATTAAATCCCCACTAAAATTATTGATTTCACAGTACTGTAGTATATTTTAATGAGAATGTCCCAGAATCTTGATTAAAATCCGCATCTCCTTTTTTGCTTTAATCAGACAGTCATATGGGTTTTCCCATTATAAAGAAAATGAATTTTGCCATTACTTATACATGTATATGAATATGAGAGCGAGCCAATTAGCAAGATTTCATTTTGTATTTAGCTCAATATGATCTTAGTACCTCTAGTTTTTTAATATAAACAGGCCTCGACTTATTTATTGAAGCTAGTTAATCTGACTTCATATACTTTTTCCTTACTTGTGAATTAGCAATAAAAGAAATGCTGAAGAAAAGTGTATTGATGATCTTCTACAAGAAATGGGATTGAGCAAGCTGCAGCTTTTTGATTCATCTAACTGTTAGGATTGATCATATAATGGCTCAATGTTAGAACCACATTGTGACAGACCTCTGCCTCCATGCGGTGTATATACAGACCTCTGCCTCCACGCGGTGTATATGTTCCTTTAGGTTCTCTTTCATGGACTGCTGCTCACGCATGGTGCTGTTGATCTCGCTGCGACAGTTGGTGATGTCAGCACTGTGCTTTGTCAGGGCCTGATCACAGCGCACGACTCGGCTACGAAGGTCCTGCAACATGGTCACTTGATGAACCTCCAGTTTCCCAACAGCGGAGTTTGTGCCAACGACTGCCATGTCTCTCTGGTGAATCTCCTCCTCCAGAGACTGAAATAAAGTGTGTAAACAAATGATTCACAGCAAGGGTATAAAACTCACAGTGTATATAGTCTACACTAAAATGTCAAGATGTATCCTGCATGAGAAATAAAATTCAAAGATGAAGTCATGGAATAAACATGGAAAAGTTGTAGATGATTCTGATGGAAAAGAATTTACTGTTTGTCTCTGTTATTAAACTAACTACTATTTCTTTGTCCACTCATGACACTAAGGACTTTTTGAGCACTTTGTCTTGGTTAAGTCATAATGTCACTATAAACTTTCTGAGAAGTATGTCTTGATTAAATCATATGACACTATAAACATTTTCAGCACTATGTTTTGGTGAAGGAATGTCTTGAGCATTATATCTTGGTAAAGTCTTGAGACTATAAATTTACTATCTGCCAACTCTTCAGGCTAACTCATGACTTATTGCAATGTCCTTATTGGGTCAGGACACTATAAACTTACTGACTGCTATGATTTTGTTAAGTGGTAACTTACTGCTATGTCCTTGTTGAGTCTGGACACTATTGCTGTGATGTAGTTAATGTGGTTCTGTAATAGATGTTTCGTGTTTTCCTCCAGTCTGTCATTCTGCACTCGATTCAGGTTTTCTATAAAGTCCTCACGATTGTCAAAGGCCTTCTGAATAAGACCCTCGGTCATCCTTTGTTGGTCATTCAGGGCTTTGGCCACCTGTTCCTGCTGGGAGAGGACCTGGGACTGCTGCTCTAGGGCCCGCGTCACTTTATCCTCCAGGGCCAGGAGTCGACCAGATTTAGGGGTAACGATACTCCTCCCATCTTCAAATGTTGTGACCGTCTGACGGCGCGGGCTCTGTACTCTAATGGCATCGTAATCTTGTTCAACAATTTCAAACTGATTCTTGTGATGTGAACGCCGTATTTGTGGCAGAACTACACCTGTCTGTGTCGCCATTCCGTATGATGCTTTACTTTTTTACTGTATGTTTTGGTTAATTTGACTCTTAAACTGGAATGATGCACTCTTTCTGAAAAGAAGATATGGTCATAAAATTTTCCTTTTAAAAATTCCATCATCTGAATTCACTGAAGGATTTTAATTTCACCTTCTTTTTACAAATGTTTAAGTAATTTGAATATATAAGAAAAGGCTTTTCAATTTTTGCCATGGTATAAAATTGAAAGTGTTGGGAATTTGTTTGTTGAAAGATTCAACATGGTAACTATTGAGTTCTCACTTTTGATCATGTTGTATGTTGCTCTCTATTCAACAGCCAGTGTAGATTTAAAACATGCTTATAGTCATTAAAGGGAACAGTTCTATAGGTATCAATTAATTCTTATTTAAGTGTCTGAGGGTATTCAAAATTTTGTCAAAAACTCATTGAACAAATGTTTGATTTGCTTTGCTGGGAAGATGAAAGCCATGTTGTTGGATTGGAGGAAATGCATTATGATACAAGAATGTAATGAGAAGATATCCTGAGAGCCCTTAATGGCTTGCCATATATAATACAGTGTAAATTAATTAGGATATTAAGATTTTGAAGAAATATCAAGCTGTTTAAGAAGTCTTAGCTGCTTATTAAACATTTCATAATGCTGGATTTGATTTCTAAGAGTGGTATTTATTTTTTTGTGCTGGTTAATTGTTTGAATTATTTTTTCGGGGGGGGGGGGGGGGGGATTATGTTTATATGCACTTTTTTGGTTGTTGTTGATTTTTTTTAAAGACGAGTGTGTATTTTGATTTTGAATATAAAATAAAAGAAATAATAGATCACCAACACATTGTGAGAAAGCATAACTGATAATTTAGACAGAGAGAAGTACTTGTAGGAATCTTTTGCCCTGTTCACATGGAGAGTTTAATTCACAGTAAATTAATGGGAAGTAAACTAATGCGAATTTAAAAAATGCGAATTAAATTGCGTTCACATGACAGCTAAAGCAATGTAAAATATGCGAATTAAAATTTTATTTCTACAAAAAGGCTATAGATTCAGTAAGGCTATTATGACATCATTTGTAAATTACGTCATGTATGCATCTTGCCATCCATTTAATATAAAAATCATAATGGCTACAGGTATACATTTGTGATTAACATACATTTCCTTGATTTTTGAACCAAATATAGCACAGATACCCAAATCTTACCACCAACTTACCTGTGACTCAATTCTGGCCTAAGGCATGCGCCAAAATTTAATTCAAAATAGCTTTGCTTAGCATTCACATGGAGTTAATGCGAAGTAATTTAATGCGCAGTAAATTAATTCAAATTAAACTAATTCACATTAAATTCTCAGTGTGAACACTAAACGAAGCTAATTCACAGCAACTTACGTTTAATTCAAATTAAACTCTCCGTGTGAACAGGGCATTACTTATATCCTTAACCCAAGGAACTAAATTATAATATATAATATACCCTATCCGTTTTTTTTTTCGCGTGTCGCAAATTTTGCTAAAAAAGGTAGTTTTGTGCAGATTTTAATTTGTGTAAATTATATTTGTGATTTTAAAATTTTTTGAAAGAAAAACGGTAATGTTTTTTATGGCACGTACATAATAACTGACATCAATTTAACTCGTTTTATTTTATGTGAATTGAAAATGATCGCAAAAAATGTGAAAAGTAGATCATAAAGGGAAACAAAATGCATTAAATATTAAAGTCTGTGGACTACATTTATGAAAATTTTATAGACAAATTGTAATTAATATAAACTCTATCCTTTATTTCAATTTAAAAAATTTTCATAACTGTGGGGATGTGTTAAATTCATAATTCATAATAATCAGGTATTCTTTAGTACAGTTAAGCTCTCAACAAGTTTTTCTGTAATTATTAAAAGCATGGGTTTTTTTTTGGGGGGGGGGGGGGGGCGGACTTGACATTTTTAGGACATTAAAATGCAATGGAACTTCAAAGTCCGATGGTCATGCCAAACTTATAATCATATTTCAGAAATCTGTGAAATATTTCTAAATGGGATTTTCACAGTAATTAACAAAACAAAAAATATTTATTATGATTATGAAATATATACCATATGTTGTTAAAAATTACACATCTGAGCAATAATCTTAATTGGTAAACTTTAAAGAAATGAAGAAATGATAGGTGTTACATTCTTGAACTACTAAATTTTTAGTGAATTAATTTAGATTTATCGATGTATACAGTGTAGCGGTAATATATTTATATGAAGAGATTGAGGTGAAGCTATACATCCATTTTCAATCCACTTTGTAGGTCACAACAAAATTTTACATTTACCTGGGACTTCATTGTAAATAAGTATATTTTAAATTTTCACAAATTTACAATTAAAGTTTTTACATCTGAAGAAAATATTCTTAAATTGCAGGAATTTTTTTTGATTGGCAAGTGTATATTTCAAAAGTTTACTTACTTAATTTTATTCATCATTTTCAATCCATTCTATAGCTTTTGTAGTTTGGTGAGAGTTTGATAGAAGAGAAATCACTTTTAGACTTGCATCAAATCCTCCATTTTGATTGGCTGTCTGCCTGTACCTTAGTTATTGTGTGGTAGGAGAGGCATATCCTTTTATGAAATGCATAAAAATGATGATTGACTTTGTCAATAGAGGTCCATATTAGGTTCCTAAGAACAAAATCAATTTAATTATTGGAAAATTAATAAATAATAATAGTTTGCAACATAAAAAAATCATGCCTTTAAGGGAAAATTGTTCAGATTTATTTAAGAACTTTAATAAATTAAAACTGAAAATGGAATAAAAGAAGTTTTGTACCTCTGTTATGGCTTTCTGACCACCAGAGTATGTTTGTGTGAGAATCAAATTAAATGGTCTGTGAAAAGATGTATTATTAGGTGACAAAAAGACTTTCATTATGAATATAGACCTTACCTATATGTTCAGATTTCTTGTTCAGTACAACTCGTGTATTAACCGACTCTTTTGTACAATACAAAGCAATTTTCTTTAGAATCAGAATTTTAAATCTATTTGATGGAGATGCCATTCAGTTTTTGTTCCAAAATTTAGCTAGGGAGAGATTCCCAAAACATTAAATGGATTCTTTCAAATTCACATTTTTTTAGAACTTTAATGTTTAATTATTAACCTTAAGTTTTTTTTCTGCTTTTTGAATATCAGCTAAACTTTGACCCTGCCATAGATGAATAAAATTCTTGAAAGTAAACAAAACAAGAAATCTCTATGTATCAGTCTTAATTCCAAACTGGGCCATAAAATGGTCTTCTTTACCAAAGAATTTAAAAAAAAAATTCAATCAACCAATTGTAGCTGTAGGTTTAAAGACAAGTTTTGAGTAACACTTGGTTTGGATGTGTTGACAGTATTCATATTGAACATTTACATACAGGTATCTCTCTACTTTTATCTTTTATATCTAAAATTTACTTAGGCTTATAGCAGGTTGGAAAACTTTATTGTCTTGTTTTGTTTTGGGTGTATGTAAATGGCTTAAAAGTTTTCTTCTTCACTTCCTAACGATACTAGGTGTCTAATGTACCAGCAATTACTGTGTATATCTTTAATGCTAACAGCTTTTTTGAATTTAAATGTTCTTTTATCACTCTGAATGTGAATTGAATTTTTATTTGAAAACATGAAATTTCTTAAAGTCAAATTAGTAAAAATATGGTAATGTCCAGCTTTATGTTCACAAAAATTCAAAAGTATTCCTTTATATAACCACTACCTTTTAATAAAGGGAAATTTCTAGATCTGAGTTTAGGGCCAGTATGGGGGGGGGGGGGACTGTCATTCTGAAGCATATTATTTTATGGTCAGTTTCCCTGTCACAAGACAGAGAATTACCGATTTACAGTACCTCAATTAGATATAGCTTCATTTTGTTCTTATATCCTCAGGAAACATTTTAGGTTGTAGAAGATAAAACCTTGTTCTTTATGCTTGACTTTAGTTTTCAAATAAAATCTGTTCACATTGATGAAAAATTTAAAACAAACCCCTCACTTCGAGTATTATTTCTTATTGAAGGAAAAGGTCAGCACCAACAGATTATCAAAACTTGAGGACTTGGAGTTCATTAACTACTTCATCTATCCTCAGAAGCCCCAGTGTAAATGTCTCCAAAATCTGCATTTACACAATTGTCATATTCATACATGCAATATTGTAATCGTACTACATTTGCTGTGTATTCTTTTTAGCACCTTTGGTGGAAAGAAACATTCGCTAATTCAAGTACAACACTAAATGTCTTGTGCATATATTCATGTTACTCATGTATACGAAAATGAATAAATGGGCGAAATCAAATCTACACTAACATGTTCAAAAATCAATTTCTGCCAAATATCGTACATACCAAATATAATACATTTACAGTATTATGCTAATAAAATAAAGTATATACATTGCTTTTTATGTTTTTCCTTTTTCATCCACAGTTTATTGAAAAAGAAAAAAAATAGCATGTCTCGTCGCGGCCAGCTCCCAATTCTGAGGGCTCCTTATGATACACAAGATGAGCCATTTCAGCGTCCAAGTCCCCGAACTAATGAACCTGAGACCCGGATACTCCCGTACTCTGGGAATAACACAGAGAGGCAGAGTCGCGGACCCTCCAGGCTTGACCTGCTGGAAGAAAGGTTAGCACAGCAGGAAAAAAACTCACAAAATCTGGTGGACAGGGCCTTCAAAATCAAAGAAGATGTCATTGACAGTTTGAATTTCACCCATGGAACTTGGCAAGAGGAGAAGCATGCCAGAAATATGTTACAGGAACACATACGTACAATAACCGCAGTCGTCAATCGACTCAACAATGATATATCTGTAAGTTAATAGACTTAAGTCAGTAAGTCAACAGACTTTATTTAAATTAGTTTTTTATATAATATTTTAATAGCCTAAATTGATTTCTAAACAGTTAGTTTATATTCCTACATCAGTAAATAACAAAATTGATGTCCCGAGTAGCATTAGGTGTTGGCATGAAAAATATATCTCACTGCTCAGTCTCAATGAGTGCCGAGAATAGGATAAAATGAGCAGCTCTCCCCTGTCCATTGGTGGCATCTCCATATGAGTGGACAAATTTTCAAGAAGGACATTAAACAACATACAAACAAACATAAATTTACATTCTTAAATTTACATTCTTAAAATGCAAGTTAACAATATATATAACAAGATATAGCGAATTCACGTATATAGCGAAGTTTTTCTGAGTTCCCGGCAAAATTCTTAACAAATCTTTCAAATTGTAAGATTTTACGGTTATAACGAACTCTGATATAACAAATTTATGGATAAAGCGAACTGAATTTGAGTCCCGTTGAGGTTAAATATAATGAAATTTACATCTTTTATAACGAACTTTCTAAGATCTGAAAATTTGATAAATTGAAGTGATTTTATTTTCTTTGTATATATAAAATTCATTCAAATAAATCTTAGTTATTGAAGGTATGTTTTGTAATAATTGCTTCCCTAACATTTTGGTAGTAACACTTTAAGGGAAACATGCATATTGCGAATTCGCTATATATGGTTATACAAATTCGTTATACGGATAAAACGAATTACGGATATAGCGAATTAAATTCACAGGTCCCCAGGACTATAACCGAGTTTCACTGTACTCTCTTTTAACAGCAACTTGAGGAAAGTGTTCGTGCCCGAGACAATGCCAGCATGGGAACTAACAACGCGGTGAAGAATTTGGAGGTCCACCATGTGGCGTCCCTGACTGATCTCAGGGGACGAGTGGTACGCTGCGATACATCCATAGCTCGTCTGTCTACAGAACTACAGGGTGCCACAGCCGCCATTAAACAAATGTCACAGCAACAAAACGACATGCAGGGAAAAATCTTGGAGCGGATCCATGAAGTAGAGGCACGGGTAAGATAAGAAGATATGATGTTGTTAAACAGATTTTTAACTTATTCAGTTAATTATATATTATCAATAGTTTAACGAATTTGTACAACATTTACAAAGGAATATAGCTGCAGAAGTGAATGTTAATTGTTACAGAAATACATGTATTTATAAGTTCTTGCATAAGAAAGGAACATAACTTGCTTTAACTTGGATTTCTTTTAATACAAAACTAGTCTGTTGTCATTACAGGGATATAAAGTAGATTTTATCAAAATTTCTCTGCAGATGGTCTCAATTCAGAACAATCAAGACAGAATAGCCAGTGAGAATAAGATGAAGCTCCAACATTTAGAGGGTGACACAGGCCAACAGATGGCAACACTGGACAGTCGTACCAGGAGTATCATAGACGACCTGAAGAACACGCTGACTATGTACCAGTCCAGCTCAGACACCGAACGAGAAAAACTCGAGTCCAGAATGATGTCAAATATAGAACGAATCTCTGCAGCCAAAGATAGTCTTATTGTAAGAATTGTCTACCATATAAAGAGTGTACAGTCAAACTTACTCACATATAAGATAAAGTAAATCATTCATGTTCACTTTATATTATTTTTGATACTTTTTATTTGATGCAGGAAAGAGTTGAGAGAAAGATAGATGAAAGCACTTTTGTGACTGACAACAGAATACAGAAAATGGAAGAAGCTATAATGGAGGAAAGAGCCAAAATAGCAGATATTGAACATGTAAGTAAATAGCAGATATTGAACATGTAAGTAAATAGCAGATATTGAACATGTAAGTAAATAGCAGATATTGAACATGTAAGTTAATAGCAGATATTGAACATGTAAGTAAATAGCAGATATATTGAACATATAAGTAAATAGCAGTTATTTTTGTCCCGTGTTATTTTCGCCCTTTTACACTTGTGAACAATTTTGCACCGTTTTAAATGTGACGAGGGCGAAAAGGGCGAAAATTTCTCTGTATACAGTATGTCATTAAGTAGCTGGTTTTTAATTTGTAAGTATGTAAAAATATTGAAACTGTCATTTTGTAAAATTTGGAACAGACACATTTTCAAAATACATTGATTTAAACTTGCTTTTGATTTTGAGACCAATTGATGTTAGCTGCAATAATGTAGCTCTCTCCTTTTTTCCAGAAAATATCAGATTGAAAAAAATTCAGAAAGGGCTATATTTTTGCAGCTAAATTGGTGTTTATAATAATTTGAGACATATATTTTTAGCTCCTCTGGTCAGCTACCAGAAGAGCTAATGCTATAGTACGGTGTCCATTGTCTCTGTATCTAGTTGCTTGCCTCCCTGTCCATCTGTAAACATCTTTCCAAAATCTTACTCCTCCTACAATTTAATTTGGCCAGATTTCAATTAAAAACACATATCCTATATTAAAATACATAATTCAACATAAAATTCTACAACCCCTACAGTTTTGGTCCTATTTCAATGAAACACTTTGTACACAATAGTTGACACATCTTTTCAGATTTCAAAACAACTTGAATAGCATTGCCTTGGTTTACTTTCACAAATAATTTTTTTGATATCCTTTCAAAAGGCTACCTCTATATTAATATGCTGCAACTACAGGTGCTTGGGGACAGGACAGGGAATAAAAATTCATACTCTCTGACACTAAATAGAGTCATTTTGTTTTAGTATCAGGGAGTATGAACTTTTATAAAAGGCTTTAGTTTAGACCTATAGCTTAAATTTTGGATTCTTCAGTTGCAATACTTTGTGAATTATGTCAATGACATAGAAAATACTTTTTATTTCGAAAAAGTCAAAGAACCCTTGGGGGATGGAACAGGGGCAGTAGAGCTACAGTTTTGTCAAAGATTTCAAAGATTAAAGCCTAGCTGCCTTATATTGCTTAATAGCTGGGCGGGTAATATTGAATTCTCACATTTGCATAGAACGAAAGTTATCTATGTGCATGTCAGATATCAATATAACCTGCAATCTGAGGTTTCCATGTGCTGGAATTTGTTGATAATAAATGCAATTCATACTGCAGTCAAAGTTACAACCTAAGCATGTTAACAATTCAGGGTTTAGGCCTGGGTGGCAGTAAGGTACTGTAGATGAATGGGTGGATCTAAATGTTTCTTGTCAGGTGTGGCCTAAGCTTTTCTAACAGACTTGTTGATCATTGTACAGTGTATATATGTACTTTAAAATATGTTTTTCTGAATTTAGAAAGATTTATGTCCATTGTGAATTAATCAGGCTTGGAGAAACTGGGAAACACATTAATTCATGCGCTTGTTAATAAATGTTGCAGCGAATCTCTGGATTCAAACAAAATAGGACAAAAAGTAATAGAGTCCTGATATAGGAGACTTATTATGTGTATATATTTATATATAGGGTATAGGCCTTGATGCTGAACAGGTATAAGATGAGCTAATGTTATGATCTAACTATATGTGGATTGTCTTGTTTCAAACTTTTGCAGAGTTACTCCCCTTGTACATGTTATAGAATTTTTTTTTGGTTTATAAATGCAGTGCTGGTTTTGCTAATGATAATTAGGACAGAGTAATAATATTTGTATTATTGTTGATTTATTTTAATATTATGTGCAGTTAATATTATTAAATGATTAAATTAAGTTTTCAAATTTTAATATATATATTGCAAATAGTTTTTTTAAATGTAATTTCAAATGAAAAAATTTGCCAATTTAAATTTCAAACAACAACACTCAATAACTTCAGAGGAATTTTTTTATAATTTTACTCTGGATTTCAGCATTTTGAGAGGATGTGCTATTTTAGATCAGACATTTTAATATTGTTGACATTTTCACATGCATTAATGAAAGATCCACTTGTAGTTTCTTTAAAAATGCTTGGTTAATTTTTTCTTCTCTTCCAAAACTGTTGTAAGAAAATGATAACCCTATTTGAAGACTAAAATAAGCTCTCTTGACTAATTAATAAGCAAATCTTTCCATCTGTATCTAATTATATTTTATTTGCTTTAAAAACTGCATGTACCGAACCATGTCTGATATAAATATGGACTCTCTCTTGATAATAATTTGCTGTTCATTTGTTGTTGTTTTTTTTAAAAAAATCCTTCTTTCTGTCTTCTGTTAGCATTTGGAAAACAAGATTTCTGCTCGATTAGAACAAATGGCTACTCAACAAAAGGAGGAATTTTCTCGCCTGAAACGTGAAGTTCGGGAGGGCTTCTCTACAGTTCACGAGAGCATCAGCAACATGAAAACTGTGATGGAGGGGAAAAGAAAAATTCTAGAGGATCAGCTGAGAAAGGAGATGAGCCAAATCCGCAAAATGGTCGTCCTTGTGTGATGTGGAAATATCGCTAGGTAAAACAAGGCACACTGTGTTCAACTCGGAGCAAGACTATGTTTGTAGGCATTCAATACCACTGCATGAAGCTTCACAAGTAGTTAACAAGAAGCAAAAAATAATAGCATAACGTATAATAAATCTGCCTGTTTAAAGTATCAACTGATATATATATATTATTGAGTAGATTTAACACATCACAGATTTAAAAACAAACATGATCAAGATTCTGCCATAAACTATGCATCTTTACGGGAAACATTCTGCCTTTTACAGTTCAATGCAAAATTGTAATTTTCAGTATTCAAGACTTTCCTGAATTACAATTTTAACTTGTACTGCAATCACTCCAGCCTAATACATAGGTCTCTTACAGGCTGACCACCATGCTTTTGCAGCTAATGGTTTATATAGTTTTTTTCCCACAACTATCTTAATTAATGGAAATTATAAAAGGTACATATTTGGCCATTCTTCAACCCTTTCTTATATAAGGAAATTTGGTTTGGGGGACTAAGAATTCATGTCCCCAGGGCTTTATTGGAAGGAAGATTTGTTACTCATATTTTGTTTGAGTTGTTTAATGAAAGCACTTTTAATCATGGGTTTAGGTGCAAAAGAGGTGGTGAAAAATAGTTCAATTCAAATGTATTGTTACTCAAACGTGTAGTGTATGTCAAAAATGTTTTTTATTTATGCATACAAATTATATATTTTTGTTATTTATTGTAATTATGCAATCAAAGTCAATTTCCTGTTTAACGTGTAACCAAAGCATCTGTCGCCAGATATTTATTTTTTCAATGTATATATTATTATATGCCATATTTTTTCATGATCATCTTGTAGCATACTTGCATATTCTAAATATTATATTGCATGTGCCTGTATTTAATAAGCATGTTCATTCTACACATGTATAGTGTGGAGGAAACCTCACAGATAATAAAGTATATAGTATACATTGTTTCTGCTATCACTTTTCTTTCCATTACCCATTAGTATGATCTGCCAGTCATATGCATCAAGATAGAGCATTATATCAAGATAGATATATATATATTTACCAGAAAATCAGACCGACAGGTCAATCATAGAGAGCTGCAGTGCCAACCACTGAAAAAAACAACATATATTTGTCTGCACACTAAAAAATGTGCTGTATGCTTCATGACTTTCCCAATATTTAAACTACCATCTCAAAATATTACTGTGTACATTATACATGTATTGATCGAGTTCAAGGGCAACATGCGTTTTGTAGGACCCAAGAACCAAACTGTCTGCCTGAGGCCGTAAGGCCAAAGGCAGACAGTTTGGTTCGAGAATTTGAAAAATAAATCCAGAAACAGCAGCACATTTTCTGTGCAATGAATATAGTTTTTCCTATCATTAGTTGGCAGTGTAGCCCTCCAGTCTATCAATAAATATTTTTCAGAGAGCTTTGATTCTGATAAAAAGTTACTCTTCAGTCATCAGTAATCAAACCTGTTTGACCACCAGACTTGGTCTAGTACCAATGTTCAAGTAAAGTATTTATTTTTAGTTGTGTGAGAAAATTACAAACAGGTGATGCTTGTGTAACGGGAGAGGAGAAAATGCAGCAAACCAGACCGGGATTCGAACCCGGGCCCCCTGAAACATTGGTCAGGTGCTCTACCAACTGAGCTATCTGGCCACCAGCGATCAAACCCGGCTGACCGCCACATTCCTCCATCCTTAACGGTCTTTGGCCCTCCAAACACCCCAACCCAGGCTCATCCCTGGCAGGTCTTTCACCTATCAATTCCAGGGCATGGCACGGCACCAAATGTAACGAGAGAGGAGAAAATGCAGCGGACCAGACTGGGATTCAAACCCGGGCCCCCTGAAACTCCGGTCAGGTGCTCTACCAACTGAGCTATCTGCCCACCGGCGATTGAACCCGGCTGCTCGCCACACTTGTGAAACATTTAAGCCCCCCCCCCACCTCCCCCATTGTTAAAAGATTACTTGATTGTACCAAAAACAGAACTTGACCAAAATATTATGCAAAGAAAATGAATGGAAACTGCAAATAATTGGAATTTTTCTATGTCCAAGGGGCATAACTCTGTCAAAAATTGCTTGATCGTACCAAAAACAGAACTTGATTTAGATATTCTTTTATGATAAATCAGTATATTAAGTTTCATTATAGTATGTGCAACCTCTGCAAAGAATTGTAAATGATTAGAATTTTTCTGAAGGTAAGGGGCATAACTCTGTCAAAAATTCCTCGATCGTACCCAAAACAGAACTTTACTTTGATAGTCTTATACATGTACCAATTTCATTTCGGTAAATGCAATCTCTGTGAAGAAAATATGAATGGACTGTAAATAATCGGAATTTTTCCAAGTCCAAGGGGCATAACTCAAAAATTGCTTGATCATACCAAAATCAGAACTTGATCTAGATATTCTAGCAAAGCAATATGCTCCAAGGGGTGCATAAATATGGCACTCTTATTTCTTGCATAAACATTTTGACTCTGTATGGAATTTTTACATGCTTTATTGATAGTACCTGCTGAATTGTAGCTCCCTGCTTGAGAAAATTTGGACAGATAAAGCAGAGAGCTACATATCCATGCGTTGTAAAAACCTTTGATTTACGCCGCCACTTTTTTTTCGCTCACTTCAGGTATTATATCTGAAATCTTATGTTTTCCCAAGCTTTATAACTGAAATCCGTTAATTAATTGCACATTCAAATCCTATTCCTAAATGTTTATTTACCTTTCAATGGTTCAAGAAGGGCCGTTTGTGGATGGAAAACCAAAACCAGAAAGAACTGTTTATGATCGTTGAAAGGTAAAATTAATAAATTATTAAAAATTGCAGTAAAATATATATGATTACTTATCGAATACCAATCTAAGAGCGAAGGAAACCATAAACTACAAGAAATAATACCTGAAGTGAGCGACAAAGAATCGACGGCATAAATCAAATGTTTTTTACAATGCATCGATCTGTAGCTCTCTGCTTCATCTGTCCGAATTTTCTCAAGCAGAGAGCTACAGTTCTGCAGCTATGTTGACAGCAGATATTGAACATGCAAGTAATGTCAGAATACCTAAGATTTCAGGTTCCTCATCCCTAAGACAGTATGGTGGGTTTTTTTTTTTTTTTATTTAAAATGCCAACAATTCCAGCATACCTTGCAATTCAAAATTTTGAAAAGAACTTTTGTGAAAGAGCAAGATTTTCATCAAAATGAATAAAATAAGATTTTAAGTTCAATTAATATTAAACATATTGTCTAATTTTGTTAAAATAAAGACCTGCAGGGAACTTATTTGATGTAAGGCAAGCCAACATTGATGATATTGGAGAGGATTTATAAACAGGAACTATTAAAAAATACACAGACTTGAAATATCTTGTTTTGGTACTGCTCTGGAAAAACACAAAACACACTGAAAATGATGAAATCTTTAATACATGACTTTTGTTTTACATTAAAATAACAAAAACATACTATAATAATGATAAATATGTTTTTTTTTCTAAAACTCACCAGTTTTGTAAATCAAAACATAATTGTCTACACATATATCAATCTTCTACTGACAACTGTAAAATACTCGAGATTTAAATGAGAACTGACAAAAATATGACAAATAATTGAGTATGGCTTGTCGTGACACAATGGAATTTCATCTATGTGAGAATGAGAAAGGTGATACAAAACGCGTCTATGACCTAAAAAATGTCTTTGAAGATGGGTGTTGGATAATGGTAACCATGGCAACAGTCTTGTACAATTTGTTTTGTTTTCAGTTTTTTCATGTAAAACCCTTTTCACGGCATTTTCAGTACTTCCCAGAGTATCTTTTAACACTGAAATTAAAAGAAAGTATTAAAACAAACATCTGTCACTATGTATAATTATATGAAAGCAGGAAACAGACTTTTTTGTCATCTCTTCTCCACTGAACTTAAGTGAACCAAGTACCACGGCAAAAAGAGCCTAAACTATTAAGAAATAACCAAGAGACAAATCCACAGAAATCTATGTGAAGTTTTCTGACGCCCATCATAGTTTTCCACATGACAATTTGAGAGAGAATGACCCAATACATAAAATACATATTTCTACATCGAGTCGAATGCAAGTCTCTACATAGAGCACACAAGTACTTCATTTTCTTCTTCCAATCAATGTATCTACCTTTTGTCATCTATAATATGTGTCAGAAATAGATAAATGCCACAATTTCCCTGCTCTCCAGCTGAAATAAGACACGATCTGATGACACAGATCAGGAGGAATCACACCCAGCTAGTCTATTCTCAAGTATTGGATTACATGCTAGCAGCATTGGTTATAGAGGCTGGTTAGTAGCAAGCACCCAAGTGAAATCGGAGAAAACTGTGATTTATTGTTTCTGAATATAATAACAACAAAATCACTAGTCTTCCAGAACTCACTGGATAAAGATTAATAAGCATTCCCATCACCAAGCATGCCCAGAAGAGGAGTTTGATTATATAATTAACATTCCAGCATACCTAACAACTGGTCAGATTCTGCATACCATTACCATGCAAAAAGGTGAGAAATAATTCAAAGAGTGTGGTAATGATTTCACATAACAAACATCATATATTTAACTATGCTGGTAGATTTAAGCAAACTATTCCAAAGTCAATTTCATCAGAAAAATTGTGCCATAGCCCTTATACCATTACCAATACCATTCTACCATAGCAAGTGGATATAACCTATGCAGAAAGCAGCTCTAGAGAGTGAAAATTTAGGAGAAAAGCATGCTCATGGTTCTTCATATTGAAGATTGAATGTGCTAAGAGATTATATTCTGATATGAAAGACTGTGAAAATTACAAAGATTATAGTATACATTGTACAGGCCATATAAAGGTAAAATATGAGAGCAGAGTAGTTATTGGGTAAATAGCAGAAGAGTATATGGATTGCTGAGTGTTCAATTTCTCTGAATATAAATTATTGTAAATTCCCTACAATGACATGTATGAAGAGATTATGAGACTAAAACTATTATCAAATACATGTATAGAATCTATTTTTTAGTACACATAACTTACCTTCAATTAAGGATGGCAGTATTTGTCCTTTTTATTTTACCTACCTAAATATCTTTCTGGTTTCCTCTCAAGAATGTTAATAACTGGTGTTTACTAACTGGTGACCCAATAATCAATCAACAAGTATACATATTTAATGACAGTCCACCCCCTGTAACTGGTGTCCACTCTGATCTAATTATATCACACCTAGATGTCACTTCACTCTCCACTACCGCTGGTTACCATGGCAACATAATGACTCCGTCAACTGTCCAATCAGGTGACACTTTATGTTGGTCACACAAATCCCCCACCTGTCCAGATGTCGTTAATAATTAATCTAGCCTTTACCTCAGGTAACATTAACAGAATACCTGTCAGAACTTCATTATATCTAATGACAGGTGCAAATTGCATTGTTCTGAGCAATTGCAATGTAATCATTATAATTTATTAAAAGCTGCCAACACTAAATACAACCTCAAGTATTCATACTAATCCTTCCCCTGAGAAAACTCTGATCCATTTCATGTATACAAGCAGTCCAGTCTTACTCAGTATACGTACAACATCACTGACTAACTGATCTATTCACATAGAGAGCATATTACCTGCCTCTGAGGAAGAAAGCAGAGGATTGCAATGATAAACATCTGATTTTATACCTGTTTACTTCCAAACACATAACCTATTAAACACAGAAATAGAGAGTACCTCTTTCACTTAGAAGTGTTCCAAACACAAATTCTCTTTCTAGAGTGATAACTTCATCGAACAACACTGAGAGCTCAATCATAAATCCACTGAAACATTTTGCTTATGACTCAATTTTGTCCTATAAATAGAATCCCTTGACCTACTTACCAGGCCTAGTAATTGTATCCTCCTCCTCCCCTATTGTAGCGGCCTCCACCCCCGCCTCCTCCCTGGAAAAACATCACAGCTTAGTATCACCTGACATTACCCTCCCAGCAACCAGCCCTGTGACACCTGCACCAGGTGACTCTTTATAGACACAGAGTTACACCTCCATGTCTTGTCACGAAGGAATCGGACAAGTGAATATGGCCAGCATAAGCCAAAACCTCAGATAGTTGAGAAAGGAAGGACGTAAGGACGTGGGGTGGTGGACTCTAGTGGAGGGGTGGACTTTCCCAGGTACAATACTTACCTCATGTCTTACCTAACTGAGCATGGCAAGAACTACCTACCTGCTTTGTAAAAGAAATTGGGCATTTTGGATCTGTTCATGGCTGCCAGTGATAGTGATGATTCGGTCATTAGAGCCGGGCAGGCCCTCATCAATGACTATCTGGGCATTAGACTGACGCCGTATTTCTTGTATACGAACACCACCCTTTCCAATAATAGCTCCAGCAAGCTAAAATATGGACATGATTTTGGAATAATAATTGATCATTAGTGACAATTTAGACAAGGTGTTGAAATGGGCTAAAACTGGATGAAGAATCTTGAGGAACTTACGTCCTTTGGAATGGTGACTTGGGTTGAGGGTAAATTTCCTTCGTTTCCAAACATCTGACCCATACCACCCTGTGGAAAGAGATCAAGGGAGATTACTCACAGGTTTAGATTCAACAAAACCTATGAATGGGCACTACCTATCTGCTATAAGGGGGTCCTAGTTTGGGGGCGTGCAAGAGAGAACAAGAACCAGATGGGGGTGTGGAAGGCACCTTAAGATATTGAGGGTGAACACAGACCGGGCCTGAAGGCTAGATACGGGGCAGGGATCTGAGGTTATGACTTACTTTGACATATCTTTCTGCATCAAACAGGCTGCTTGCTGTGGTTTAGTTTAGTCATATACAAAAGTAAAATGGTTTATGGCATACATTTTTCAAAAGTTTGAAAATCATGCATTTATTTTGTTTCCTAAAAAGCTTTTCTGGTATAATTTGGTAACAAAAATAATTCCATTTCAGAAAATCTTATAATCTCCAAAATTTAACAGCAATGTTTGTTTTTTTTTCTGAAATTTTCTTAAGTTGTTATACTTCTAACTTTTCTTTCCACTAGCATGTCTTATCTATAAACATCTCAAGTTTTTAAACATCTTTTTAACTAATGATGTGCTTGAGAAACCCTATTTAGTTTGTGTATTAAAAGTGACACAATTCAAAAGGTTTTTAACACTATCATCAATTTATCATGCAGATTTAGTGATCTGAGAGCTCAGAATTAGCACTAAATTTTCCTTTTTTTTTAAAGCTAAAACTTTAGAAACAATTAATTTAAAGGAGAGATAGAGAGCTATTTCTAATTGTTTGCTTTTTTTTTTCAAATCTGTAAATTTCATCCTTCGTTTCATTTAAATAAGATAAAAATTTGAATTAAGAACTACTTACTGAATTGTCTTGAGAGAAATTTTGACCCATTCCTCCAAAGTTATCATAACCATCGTCATAGTTATCTCCCCCTCCAAAGTTGTCATAATCACCACCTCCATATCCTGAAAGGAGATAGGAAAATTTTTACCATGTCAGTATGAGCACAAAACTATAAAATCAGGAAAATTCCACAATGAATACATTTCACAATTTCTATGTAGTTATCATCACCCATCAAACTAAAATAATCTTCATTTCTTGAAATTGAAACTCCATAAATAGAGGATATTCAATGTTTTGTAGTTGAATATGGAATTCATTTCACGAGTGGGACAGGATTTTTGATATTTTCACGAGTGCGAAGCACGAGTGAAAATATAAAAAAAATCCTGTCTCACGAGTGAAATAAATTCCATATTCAACTACAAAACATTGAATTTTCTGTTTATTACATTTAAAAAAAAAATCTTTGATTTTTCCTTTGCCTCTGTCTTTTTGTAACACAGTCATAGGTTCGTGACGTCATAGTTGAGCGGTTGAGACGTCATAGCTATGTAAAGTGAAAACACTGTAAACATTGATTTAGCAACATATTTTTGGTAATTTTGACAGTTCTATTCGCTCTCAGAATGGTTTATTTATTTCCATCTATCTTATATTAGGTCAAGGAAGATTTTTTTACAGCAATCTTTCTTATGGGAAGGGAAATCGAGAGTTTTCCCGCACTTCTGATATTCGTCACACTGTGACAGGATATCATTTTGATATCCTTTCACACTGTGACAGGATATCATTTTTATTCAATGAATAAATTACAGTATTTCACGGGTGAAAATGTAATAATAAATCATCTTTAACATATGCTCAATGATTTCCCACTTTATGAACTTATTAAGAAAGCTTAAAGATTCTGCACCAAAGTTTATATAAATCTGACCCAAGTCTGTAAGTTGTCAGTTTACTTAGGTAAAGTATATGCTATCAACTGACATGTACAGTGGTATTTATTTGGTTACTCACCGCCACTTCCTCCCATGCTGCCGCCTCCAAAGCTACCACTGCTACCACCGCCGCCGCCACTGCTTCCTCCAAAACTACCACCTCCTCCTCCTCCACTGCCACCACCAAAACCGCCTCCCCTACAAAGACAAAAAGTTCATAATTGATTTAATAACATCTGGAAACAAGGAAATGTTCTTCTTTATGTAGCACCCAGCACCTATAAACTCTACAATAAAGTTTCTTTTATGTTAATAGAAAGTAATATTTATTAGTATGATCGGGTTCAATTGGCTAAGTGAGCTGAGTTCACAGAACACGACCATACCCATATCCTCCCATAGCACCACTGCCCATCGGCCCACCGCCAAAGTTTCCTCTGCCGCCCCTGAAAAAAGGAAAAACCTCCCATACACTAACTGTCACCCACACAAAGAACTCCTCCTACAAACTTACATCTCTTTATCTCTAGGATTCATCTCCTCTCCAGATGAAGGGACCATTAATGGTAAACTAACTTGTTAATCCCCTATAAACACAAGGCATGACATTCTGTGAAACACCTACCTTCCTTGGCGGTTTCCTCCTTGTCTGTTTCCACCGCCAAAGCCGCCGCCACTGCCTCCTCCGAATCCTCCACCGCCTCCGCGGCTACCACCGTATCCTCCTCCACCGCCACGGCCACCACCGCCGCCGCCAGACCTCATCATACCACCACCGCCGCCACCTCGACGGAAATCTCCACCGCCGCCTCGCATACCTCTGTAATGGAAATTTAACGTAGATATTTTTAAAAAGTTCATTATTGAATTGTACCTGTAGTTTAAAATGCCTCAGGGCTATGCCAGGAAAAAAAAGATCTGAAAGGTTTGGGATGCCCCTTTCCCCTTTTTGCAGCTCTGAACTACAATTTAGTACATCAATAAAATATTTGTTCAATGTTTAATTGGTAATCTAAATTCAAACTCGGTGGCATTCCACCTCTCTTTAATAATTTTCACTGGAATAGCTCCTGAAAGCAACATTTGGCATTCAATAAATAACTTCCACAAGTCAGCATAATAGTGTATAAACTGATAAAGATCTCTCCATGGATGCTTTTCAATGATAAACTCGACAGTACCTGCCGCCACCACCTCCTCCACCTCTCATGCCCATGGGTCCACCACCCATTCTACCACCTGGTGGTGCTCCTCTGGGGCCACCTTTGCCACGGCCTCCTTCTGAGGCACTGTAACCACCATAATCTGCCACCATGAATTCATCCCAGTAAAGTGGGTCATAGGGCTGGTTTGGGCCCTTGGGTGGTGCCTAAAATACAAATTAATGCACGTTATTTTTGCTATTCATAAACTATGTGGAATGTGATAAAAATCTTACAAGATAAATTTACACTAGCAGATTTTACATTTCAGAACACTGCACTCAAACACCCAGGATAAATGGGTATCCAGCAGCAGACAAGTCTTTGTTTAGAATATAGAAGTTTAACAAGTCAGAGAAATTTAGGCAACAAAGGGGTAAGATACAAGATTGAGAAAGCAGCACTTTCAAGCTGCCAAACATTATAATCAAAAGTTGTGCAATCAAAAGATGCTTCATGTATAAGCATTCAACTTCAAATGCACTAATTATCATAGGTTTTGACAAGAGATATCAATACTAAGCTAAAATGTCAATAAAATGTTAAATAAGTATGAGGGTCTCTGTGTTCAATAAAGGTAAGCTTTTAAGCTTTATATTTGTTGACTTCATGGCTGGTTTCTACAGTCCCTATAGTGAAGACATTACTGTCTGTAGGAGATAGACATTACCGTTTGTAGGAGATCGTGGATGGTCTCTATACAGTCCACCACTGTCTTTGGCTTTCCTCCTATTGCCACCACTCGCTCTGTGGATTCGGGACAACACTGAGAATATACTTTGATTTGTGCTCCAGTTCTCTGTCAAAGAACAAACAATGTGTAATGATATCTAACAACTATCATACACAATTCTTATGAAATAAAATATAACAAGTATCAGTCGATTCTGAAGTCCAGTAAAAAAGAGGGGATAAAAATGACCTCGAATACTAGTAAACCAAGGGTGTGTGGAAGCTCTAGTGTAAATGTGCAAATTTTCATTCCAAGCTTTTCCTACGATATAGTTCTTCACTCTGAAATTCTTTTTTAATTATAAAAAGCCACACAAAAAAAATTGTGCATGTTCATACTGACCTCTCTGAGTTCCTTGATTTTGAAACCTGCTCTACCGATGATACATCCTGCTTGACTTTGGTGAACAAGAAGTCGCATCTCACAGTCAAAATCATTGTCTCTGTAGTTTTTATACTGAAACAAATACAACAGTCAATCTTAACCCTTTACTTTTATCTATTTACACCTTTTGAATTTATTTTATATTCATAAAACTTCAAGAAAGAGAGCAATCAAACTTTGTATAAAATGTAAATTTTCTTTCAATGTTCGTCGTTTAGAAATTAATTGTGGTCAGGTGACTTACATCCTCTAGCTTAGGAATGATGTCAAGGACACAGTCCAGTGCTGTTCCAAGATTGGCCCCAATGGTCAGCACCCTGTAAGCATACAGAATTAGATTACACACAGGGCACAACCAAGCCTTCATATTTATAATGTTCAGCAAAGGAAAAATCAAATGTAGAGTGCATTTGTTCAATAAAATTAAAGAAGAAAGCATTGGCAGAGCATCCTTTTTTGTTGAATAGTATTTGTTTATTACATTTGCATTCCATTACATAAGCATTAGAATAGAAACTCTTGCATTATTTTGATATAGAAATGCTTCAGTGTTGAGGAATTTGTATTGTGGTATTTCACAATGTTAATGGTGAGTCTAGAGTCACGGCAGAGTGCAGTAGAGACAGCAAAGCATAACCCCTCATGACTGATAAGTCATCAAAGTCGTATATATGACCTTGACCTGTCTGGTATAAGGATTTTCATCCTTCAAAAGACAGGGTTTTGGATTTGACTTTATCAGAGATGAGGGGTCTTGGTAAAGCTTGACTACTTCACTGGCAAAGTAGACACAACCTCTCAAAAGAAACGTAAGGGTCACATTACAACAATTTAAGATATTAAAAAAAAAGAAAATAGGCATCAACATTTACAAGACTGGCAAAATTTGCAATATATCAAGGCCATGAGGTCACTCTGAATGGGATTTCTTTTTTTCATTTATGTAAAGAAGTGTCAAGCCAGTATTAAGAAGGCTTGAAAAAAACATTTGAGTGGCATCTCAAGCATCTGTTTGAGAGTAAAAAGCCCCAGGATTTATTGAGCTGCTACCAAACATCACTGAAAAAATTGGACCCCTCTGAAGTTTCCTCTGCCATAAATACACAACTACATCCACACATTGTGTAAAGGTTGCAGAGTGCTAGGGTAAATTATAGGACACCTTTCAAAAGAGGACATCTTACAATTTACACTAAAAGTGTACTAGTATTCACGATCTAGATATAAAATCATCACAAAAAGCACAACCCAGTAACTCTAACCACCCATGTCAAGAAAAATTCCAACCACCCCTTGTTCCTTGTTAGGACCTGGCCGAGTTTACACCTTAGGAAGTTCTAACACACAGCATTTCTACAGATAATATTAACAAGGCCAAGCAGTTACAAAGGAAGCAAAAAGATCTGTTTACTTTCACAAACACACTGGTAATAAGGCCTGTTGTCACAGACACCAATTTTTACAAACATATTTTAGTGTAAACTCGCTCAGAACTTGATTTTGTCCAAACTTGTACGATAACTATATACATATAACAAACCAATTAAATAAATAAAAACTATGATAAGAAACATATATATAAATATATCTGTTTTTAATTTTTTTTTAAAAAAAGGTCATGATTCATTACATACATGATAGCAGCTCAAGGGTGAGTTTATGATTAATCATATGATGAAAAGGAAAAAAAATGAAATGAACCAATTCTGCAATGTGGAGAATTGGAGGATGTCATACCGTTCGGGGCTTGTCGAGTCGGGCACTGTTACACTGGCTTTGTACTGCATCGTGGGGAGGGCAGACCAGGTGGACCAATCCAGTGGGCGGGTCACGGGAATCAATTCAAACATTTGAATTGGACAGGGCGGGGAATGGGAGAAAAGGAGAAAAAATGTCACATCAGTTAAACATAGGGCATCAGAAATGTCTAACGGTATACAGGTGTTTAATGGTTTACTGAATCGTTCACCATCAAAACAATTTCTTACTTCCTTCATAAACTTATCAGATATATATATTTATTAAATTCCAAATCGATTTGTATTTTTTTGGAAGATGGAGAAGATAAAATTTTTCAAAATGTCTTTTCACTCTGAAGGACAAATAATGTAATAAAGCAGCGTAGCTATATTTAATCTTCTGAGGAAGGTTACATTTAAAATCTGGAAGATCATTTGTCTGCAGAAAAGAACAAGACAGGTACATTATCAATATTATAACAATGGCAAAGTCATAATATGCTGCAGATTACATTACACAATGATATACAAGTCCCTGGTCTACAGGTGCCAAGGTATCTGATCTCATTTAGCACTAGGATCCCAGGGTGAATATAGAATTTATCTCAGTCTATGTGGATCTTAACAGATTTCAGGTTCAGCTAAGTGAGTTCTGGATTTAATGAATCACAGCTGATGATCTCATGGACAATTTGTGTCTAAATTTGAATACGGAAACTCAGGAACTTTCCAGATTTTCAAAAAATTTTGTTTGGATGTTTGCCAAAAAATGTTGTGTGACGAGTGATGTGCAGTCATGGTAACGCGTACTTACATCCTGTCGGAGTCTTTTAATGTTGCTGCCTCCTTTTCCAATGATAGCACCAGCATTCTACAAGGAAAAGAAAAAAATAATCGTGATCTCTTACACCCAACACAGGAACTCATGTTACACATATGATGAAATGTTAAGCAGCTTTAACTAATTTTATTGCCTCTTACAATTTATCTAAAGCACTGCTATTCCACTCTTTAGCCAAAATTAAAATTTTGTTTTTGTATATATCAATTCATATTGATTTTTGTACATCATTTGTGAAAGATTCTTCAAGGTGCACTGAAGTTTTAAGAACCATGTACCATTTAAAATCAATATTTGACAATCGAACATTTTCTTAAAACTAACAGAGTTTCCAATAAAATCAATAACCTCTGTGATAAAATTGATACCATAATTGCTCCTGTGTAAGCTCTCCCAGATCAATATTTCTGGATGTTTTATTCTGACTTTACAAGGCCTTCCCACTCTTCACCCTATGGATACATAACCTGCCACCATATGTTAACTTAATTGAACATTTCTTTGACTTTTTTTGTGGCAGGAAGCAGCAAATGTTTGTGTTGGACTATAACGCCAGTTAATTTCCTTGTATTTCTACTAATTACATGACTGTCGAGTTCCAGGAAGTGTTGGTTCTGAATCAATAAGCTAGACCCCGTCCGAGCCCCCAGGTGACAAATTTTTACCTGGAATAACCGTTATCTGATCATAACCTCCCTTATCAAACTCCAATTTTTTCCAATTATTGCAAATAAAAGGAAATTTTGCCAACCGCTGGAAAGGAGAAATTCTGTTTCAGTAAGCCTTACTGGTACCAAAATCATACAATTATGATTATCATTTTACCCTTCAGCTAACACTATCCATAGAATAGAGCAATTTCCACATTCACATGTGTATACTTGCAACTCATTACTTTAATCATTTTTACCACGTGTCAAATTCTGGGTGACTATTCAGTAATTCAGCTTTAAATTTTTAAGCTTAAAAATGAATGATGCATTCCCCTCCCCCATCCTCCCACTCCCACAAAATGAAAATTATGACATGGACAAAGTTAAATGTCAGGTGTTGTCTATAACTAGCATCAACCACGCTGTTAGTTTTATAAGAGATTCAGGCAGTAGTTTATGGTAATGACAATTTACATTGATATAGCAGCCTCTCTAACAATGCTTTTACCTAATGCCCTCAGCTACAAACCATATATTACACTGTCCTTGAATAATTCAGCTGCTAACAAATATAACTGAGATCATTACTAAGTCAGATGTCTTTATAATCTTACCTTGCTGGCCAGTAGAAACCTCAGTTCCACCTTGGGTCCATCACCCCTCCTTCGCTTATGATCATCTTCATCTTCCTCGTAATCATCATCCAAAGGACGCTTCATTCCCACTGAAAAGAAGATGCAGCATGCTTATCAAAGATAACATATAACAGGAGATAGTCAAATAAATACAGATTCCTCTTCTTGCCCTATTTTTTTCTAAGGGTGTAAGCAGTCATTAATGTAAGCCTAAAAACATTCCCTTTTATGTGGATGCTGTGGGAGAAAAGTTATGCTAAGGGTTTCTCTTCTCTCTTCTTTCCAACGATAATATCCCAATTCCTGCTGTTACTACCCACTCATAAAAGACAAAATATGAATCTCCTGATAGAAGAAAAAGAATCTCCATATCAGACACAAGACATTCTGCACAAGAAGAAATGTGGCACTAATCAATACCAGGCACCCACCTGAGCCAGAATAACCCAACGCCTTGCCATCTCCAGTTGATGTTCATTCTTTCCATTGTATCTTCAGCCTTCCAACCTCACCTCTAGATCTGCAGCACAATCTCTCTCCCCTACCTACACCTACCAACTGGCCAGGTACAAGTGACAACACATCATATACCCACTAATCAATTCTCCTACCTTTCCTTTGCTTCTGTTGACACGGTTGCCAAGTAACAGCCAATCAGAAGCTGCCACAAGGAAGGAGCTTGAGGTACTAACAGTATAGCTCCTGTCCATTGTTGTGGACAATATTACATCATAGTAAAGACTATCAGATGATACTTCTCACAACACACCCCGATCAATAAAATGTACAAAGGAACAAGCTAATTTTTGTCCATCCATTTTTTTTTTTGTTTAGTGTAATCATTGTGTGCATTAATCAATAGAATACAGAACAGAGTATTGGAGAACAGCTGTATTGATTTATAGGGGAAATTTTATAGTGGTCTCCTGGATATGATACACCTGCAGCAACCTGACATTTTAATGCTTCTCACAACACCCACACTACTTTTTTTACATCCAAAGATATTTAACTTTCAAACTAGATTCAATTTTTATAAATTCTTCGCACAATTTTAACTATGTTTCAGAATTTAATGCAAACTTTAATTTGCTGTCATCAGCATAAACTTGTTCCAATTCCAGTGTATAATTTTATGACTCAATTATTTTGCTTAAACATAGCAATGTCTTAAAGAAAGATACATTAATGCAGTAATAAAAAAAAATTGATCTTACTGTCATCATCCATGATGGCAAGTGTGACTTTCAGAGAATGGTTCCTAGTTCTGTTTCCAAAAGATGCTGTTATATATTAAATCAAATCAATCTGTAAGAAAAAAAAAAGAGAGATAATAAATTCTGAGGCATAACTTGCCTTGGTTTAAAAGCCAACCAAAGACCAAATGCTAAATACTGCGACCTACTTTTGATTAGTCATGACTAAGTTTTGTGCCATAGAAGAACTAGTAGGCTCTCTCATGACACAAGATCAAAGTCCCCACTAACAACATTATAATTTTTCCCCTATTGATTACACCTATCTCTTGATCTTTCTGCTTCATTTCACCATTCTGAAACTGAGACAAGCTCAGGTATAAAATATTCAGTACCTGCTTATCACAGAGGACAAATTCTGCAAATAATTCAATCCTAATTTCTAACCATTCCTGCATTCTCAAATTTGACATGTCCAATACAGAGATAGCCATGCAGACTCTTTGCCTTCCATATAGCGTTTGATCTATAACCATTGGCCAGTATAATTTGCTTTCACTTGTACCTGGATTTTAAATGTACTATGGTTTCTTTTTCAATAGTTCCAATTGATCTGTTGGAACATTACTGTTGACAGAACTTTTATTTTGAGGCACACTGGTCCTCCCCCCTCATTGATCTGTGCCCCTTGTTACACACAGTTTCTTTGCACCATTTGTCAGCATTGTTTTCTAACAAAGCACCTGCAATTTTTGTCTTGTTGATCAACATCCACTGCAAACAAGGCAAAAGTAACAGACATCGAGTTCCCAAATTTGGTCAATATTGAACAAACATTTGTTGATGCTTTACTTTAAATGGATGTCACACAATAAGGTTTTCTCAGGGATAAAATCAATGACCAGCACCCAGCTGGGATAAATTAGGAACTTTTTACCCGAAAGACATATATCTACAGACATGGTGTTGTAATGGTTAAGGTGAAACAGGACATGAATACTAAAACATAACATTATTGGGAAACATCCAGGATAACAAATCTACTAAAACATTACATATTAAATTAGGACTTCAAAACATCAGGGGTAACAAATCTACGCATATGTCTTCATACAATGTATCATTATTAGTCCCATCAACCCACCCCTACACATAAAATTGCAATTAATCAGCACTACTTCTACAAGGTTAAGATCATCCCAAGTAGTGGTATATTGGTATTAATATCACTGCCGCAAATAAAGAAAAATGTTACAGTCCGTTTACTTTACACTTACATTGGTTGGTAGTAACTTAATTGGTACAAGTTAAAAAAAAAAACAATTGTAATGAAACAGCGTTGAATACAACTTTTTGCCATATGCTACATAATTTTTTTGTTGGGTTATTATAGCTGTTTTTTAAATTAACTTTTGCTTTGTGAAACAGGAAGTTTTACATCATTTTACCAAGAAAGTCTATTTTAGGCTTTTCTTAAAAGTTTTTTTTCTTTTGAATAGCACAATGCACAACATAAAAAGTATCAAGATAATTCGACACTGGCAATGAATAGCTTACTCGTCCTCTTTGTTTGCGATGAATGGTAAACCCCAGAAAAAAACCTCTTTTGTTTTAAGGATCAATGCTTTAAAGTTAGTCTACTCGGCTATTATTGTTCCCTTTGTCACACTTTGGAAATTAAAGTTTTGAAGGTCTGCCTTCAATTCATTTCCCATTTTAAAATGAATATAATCATGCCGACATTGTTTTCTTATGAATTTTGACAATTTACTTTTGTAAGGTATTAAAGCTAGTGATTCCAGCCTAGAATTTCTTAGTTCCTCCTGCATAATATATTGACTTGTGTTTATCAGATGGTACAGAACAATTGCATAATAAGGGTCCTGATATATGATAGGCCTAAAACAACATATAAACGTGTGTACTAGCCCTAAAGACAAGTGTTGTAGGAATTTCTGTTTCTGTGCCGATTCTCTTATTACAGAACATGAACATTCACAAGATCAAGCATGAACATATACAGAATCACCTGGCAACCATATAAAATCAATATTTTAAATTCTCCTGCAAACTATATAGGATATTGGAGTCTTTGAATTCTCTATCAGAGAGAGAGATGGAAAAAAATATCCCCTTTTCCAATCAACTTCAATGCACACCATACGGTATTGAGAACTAGGGGTATTTGTCTCTTCATAATGATTTCTCCCTCAACTACAGGTTTCTTTGTTGTAGCCTCTGTCTTGAATTATTCATAGAAATTGATATATTGTAAAAAGTTGTCCTCAGCTAATGACTTTTGATATAAAAACAGCAATGTTGTTAGTATTGATTGGACAGGTGGAGATTGTCAGGCGAGAAACCTCTCTCACCTTTTTCATATGCTACAGCCAATCCGACAAAATCACAACTTTATTACAAAACTAGGAGAACCATACCAACTTAATCAGCACTTTTCCATAATGCCAGTGGTTGAATTTATGATAGACTGGAGAAAAGGTGTGAAAATCTTATTTCCACACGTACGAGTCATTGGTTTTTGTTTGTTCAGCATTGTCTTGTTATCAGAAGTATGAAATTAAAGCCATATGAAATTAAGTTTTATCCATTTTTAATCAATTTCAAACAAAATATTAAAATACTTGTATAAAAAAGAAGGCTTTCATGGTCTCTCATTCTTAAATCTCAAATAATATAAATGCATTCCCCATACATATGTACATAACCCATTAATTCAATTCTTGATACAAAGCATACTATGACAATATTAAACATATTAAATACAATCATTTATTATTTAGATTACATTTAATTTATTTAGAGTATTACATAATCTTACCCTTAGCACACAAAAAACACTACCCTGTCCAGCAAACAAGCAGGAAGCTAAAGTTTGGGATTCCCAAATTTCCTACTTTCGTTTTGATAGCAAGTTTTCCATTTAAAGGCCGAGCTTGACCTACTTGAAAATCCGGTGGTAGTGCAATTAAGCAAATTTGGTGTAGGGCGGCGCTTACTGCAGCAGCCAAGTTAAAAATAAACTCCAGCATGCTGATAACAGAAGATAGCACATGTGTTTATACTTGGCTAAACAACTCTAGTGATCCTCAGAGATAATTATACAAAGCAGGATTTACAGCACATTCTGCTGATTTATTGACCGGTTATCGGCGATTTAATTAGTTAACACTTTTAATTAAAATAAATTTACAATTATTAATCCTCAAAATGTACACAATAATCTTGGCTCAATATTTTTGGAGTCCATTTCAATAAAGGCTTCCTACATATTTACACCAGATATTATCTCTGTATTTAAATGTTAGTTTTTTATACACTTTTTTCCCTTTCTGGTTTCGTGGTGCATTGGGGTTTCTTGAATGATATACAGAGGTATGCTCCCGGTCAACATTTTCATTCCAGTGGCACACAGCAAGGTTTGATCTAAGTTTATATTGGTCTTCTCCAAAAACAATTCTCTTGTCCTGGAATATGTTCATTACATTATTGAAACTCTCTACATAGAAGGTATCTTTTCCCAAAATATAATCTTCAGGATATTTGTATATAACAGATGCTTTAAGTGTATTTTCTAAAAGTTTTTTGGCAATTTTACTGGTTAATACAACTCGGGAAGGCTCATAATTTTCATCTTTTCTGCATCGTGACTCTGGGTGACACTTTTCATGGGAATTTTCGTAGTGAGGAATTACATTCTCTATACACTCTCGTAGCTTTTGGGGGTTTCCATCACAATGCCGAACAGCCCAATGAATATGAGTGGCAATAGGTTCAGTTTTGTCCACCAGCTGCTCACTCCATGTAAAACCCTCAGACTTCTTACTACCACTGGATATATTTTTTAGTGATTTCTTTAATGCCTTTATCGAATGCCATAAATCATTCTGATTTATTGTTTCTTCTGTGTCCTTAATAAATTTGTTAATACTAAGGTTTCTGTCATGGGAGTGAACCTTGATGGTGACATCGTGGGAGGTGAAATTTTCATAAATTATCTCTGTACCAATTCTTTCGTGTCGTTGAGAAACTGGGTCTTGCTGTTTTGTTACATGTACGCAATCCAGAACTTTGTGACATTTCTCACCAATGGCCACTACAGATGTGTCTTTTGCGTTTTTACGCCATCCATGTCTAGCATCTGTTAAAATATTGATGCCATCCAAGTCTTCATAACTCCCGATTTCTTCATGTAGACCGTCTTGGATGGAATCTGTATATTCAGCCTCGACAGAATTTTTATACGCTTCAAAAAACTGTTTCCTTCTGGCCCAGTTGATGCACCCTATTCCACTTCCATTGGAAAACCTAGTGTAATGAGATGGTAGCATTCCACTACACATGAGGCCATGACCTATTCTGTGGTTGACAAGATATTCATCATTAGGTAAATATGGTGAAGATGACCAGGAATAACTGTGCATTTTTTCTTTGGTACATTGAAGGCGCAAAGATAGAACATGTCCTTTCATGGTTTTCTTCAAAAATTTTAATTTTCCACTGCAGGTTTTTGTATGAGCTTCACAAAGTTCACATATATTTAGAAGTGATGAATCTGCACAAACAAACATTTTCTGATTAACATCCTTCTTCCTGACTTGCAGATATGTTGATGGAAATTGTATTTGATCCTCCTCGACACTTTGGTCCTCCAAGTGCTTTTTTAACCAGAAGTCCAAAAGTTCCTCAATTACTCCAGCATTGTTTACAGGTGCATTGTTCTTAGAAGTTAGAAATGATTTCACCTTTTGCAGTTTTCCTTGAATTTTACTTCTAAATTCCCCATCACCTGGAATTTCAAGCCTAAAATTTGGTGGACGTTTCTTTGATGATTCTTCGTTTTTTGCCATGATTTCTAATGATTTGATTCAAGATTTCTGATATTTCTGAGCAAAATTGTATAGATATATATTAGTTGTCAGTAATACAATACTATCCTAAATTGGCTGTGGGTTTGGGGGGGGGGGGTGCAAAGGGAGAAGAGTACATGTTACAGGTAACAAAAATAGAAATAATTAAGTGTTATCCCTCACAAATATTGTGAATTTTGAAAAGAAAATTATTTATCTAATTTTCAATTTTTAAGTAGTACAT